GGACACAGACACAATATCACAGCATGCAAAGCACCGCACAATGTACAGGGGACGCGGCGGCGTTTATACTCTACGTGGAACATCAATGAGATACACAGACGGCCCCCAATCCTCCCGGTCTGCTAGGACAACCTTAACACACAAGATGGTGCCGAGTGCGAGTCACATGACCAACCCGCCATCTTCTGCGCTCGGTTTAATACGATGCAATAAACATTTTGTGGTCACACAATCTCTCTCCTGCGTCCTTAGTCAGCATTTCTCCCAAAATCCAGAACAATGAAGAGGAAACATTTCTAGAAGGTTCATTTAGTTCTCGTCTCCAACCGAAACCATAAAAACTATGAAAAGAACAAAAATACAATACACAGAAGTAACAAAGTGCATCGCGTATTCCTGATTTGTATCCGCTTCCACCCCTGACAGAGGACACCCGAAAATCTGTCCATCCAATCACAGAGCAGGAAGATAAAGTTTATGGTTACTATCCCTTTCAGGACCTTCAGAACTTGTATCAGATGATCAGACACCCCCCCCCGGTCGTAGGCCGCTATCCAGCCCCGATGCAAACATAAAAAACAGAACACAAAACCTAGACTGCATGTTAAATGAATGAATTACTATTTGCTAGACTTGTGCGCCGTCAAAAAATGTGTTTCGTTTCGGAATATCCGTTATTTCGTATTTCGTGTCCGAAACTCAATCTGGATTCGTGCGAAATACGAATTTGTTAGTTTCGTCACATTTTCGTTCCGTTACGAACATTCGTTATGATGAAGTTAAAAAGCAAAAATACCTTCGTTAATATTGGAGTCGATGGTAGTTTTTTTTTTAATCCGAAATACGAAATTCCGCTAACGGATTTCGGATTCGAATTTCGGATAAAAAAAAAAAACTACCACCGACTCCAATATTAACGAAGGTATTTTTGCTTTTTAACTTCATCGTAACGATATGACCATAAGGCCCCATTCACAATGATCGATTCGCAAACCGCTCGTTTGTGGCGTGCTTTGCATTTTGCGCGATATCACGCAAATGCTTGCATTGAGCAAGCTAGAATGGCGGCAAAATCCGCTCCAAAAAGGGTCCTGCTGTAGCGACGCACGACCCGCGACAGCGACGGACAGAGCCCCCATTGCCATGTATTGGAGAGCGATATCGCGCGATAAATAGTCGCGATATCGCGGCAATTACCGCACGATAAATCGCTCAGTGTGAATGGGACCTAATGTTCCTGCCTGTATTGTAATGCAACCCTCAGCAGCAGAAGAGAAAACCTCTGATTGGTCAACCAAACAGTCTTTTCTTTTTTTAATACGAAATTTCGTTAACGGATTTCCGATCCGAATTTTCGTATTTCGTATTAAAAAAAATCTGGTCATGTTGTTCAACCTCAGTCACAGGGGTAATATTAGTTCCCGTTTCAACGAAATTCGGATTCGAAATTCGTTAACGGAATTCCGTATACATTCGGAAACTGAAATTCGGATTTCGGATGCTTCCGAATTGACGAATTACAGGAAAATTCGTACGAATTTCGATTCGTAACGAAACGAATCGCACATGTCTACTATTTGCCCGAATATATGAAAAATGTATTCAGGCGCATAATAATCATAATAATTTATTTGAGAATGTGCGGCGGCTGCCATGTTGGCCACCGGGGCGTTCTGCGAATGCGTGCCACCATCTTGGAGGTGGGGAGCAATGAAGTCACCGCACTCCATCCATACCTGTAGCTCTGATCTTCCTCCAATTCTCAGAACGGTAACTTCTAGAAGACACGAGTTCTCCTCGAACCTTATTCATGTTATTACTCTGACTATTGGATCTCCTTTTCCTACGACTCTAATGATAGTCGTCTCTCATGCATTGCAAGACTCTAAGGCCCCGTTCACACTGAGCGATTTATCGCGCGATTTTTGCAGCGATATCGCTCATATTTCCGCGCGATATATCGCTCTATGTAGCTTCTCCAATCCATTTCAATGGAGCTGTTCACATCTCGCCGCTCAATATCGCGTGATTTTCTTGTCGCTCAGTGTGAATGTGGCCTAAAGAGCAGCCTCTGCGGCATATACTGAACGCTCACAGATATTCACGGGGGCGGGAGGTCCTGTGAACAGCTTATAAATAGATCCCTTTGTGCTTTTCTTCCATTATATATTATATTATCATTGTGCCCAGATTAGATACAAATAGTAGATTCTGTTCTTCTATACCAGGGGCGCCCACAATTTTTTCGTCTGGAGATCTAATTTTCAAATGGCGAGCTCAATGAGATCTAGCAACGAAAAAAACACCTGCGTTCAGGGGCGGGAGGGGGCGTGGCAGTGCATTGAAGTCAATGGCACCGCAGCCGCACCCCCAGTGCAATCGCCCGCACCCGGAATGCAGGCACATTAGTGCTGCATGCACTATTTATGCAGATCGCACTGGACTGGAACGCAGGCATTAATGTGCCTGCGTTCCGGGTGCGGGCGATCACACTTAGGGGGGGGGCGTGGCTGCGGAGCCATTGACTTCAATGCACCGCCACTCCCCCTCCCACCCCTGAATGCAGGGAGCCGGCCGGCTTGCATTCCAATGCATTCTAGAGGGTGAATACTCTGGAACGCAGACTCTGTGGTGTGAAACGGCCCTCTCTCCTCTCTCTCCTCGCGCTCTCTCTCCTCGCGCTCTCTCCTCTCTCTCCTCGCGCTCTCTCCTCTCTCTCTCCGCTGTTTCTATTTGCTGTCAAATCTCACTCTCTGCTGTCTCTCTCTCCTGTCTGTCTTTTCTTACCTCCACTGCCGCAGCTTCCCAAGTCTCCTCTCCTCTCTCCTTCCCGTCTGCGGCGTCTGACACATGCAGCCGCACGAGCACCGCAGGAGGACAGGGCGCAGTGATCAGTGAGCCGATCGCGATCTACCAGTGTTCGCTTTGCGATCTACCTAATGGGCACCCGTGTTCTATACAGATATATTACAATACAACCCATTGCGACCAATCAGGCGGCAGCTGTGCGAAGTCGGGTCGGTGAAAGGTAAACCCCGGCTGGGATATTACATAGTTACATAGTATTTGAGGTTGAATAAAGACATTAGTCCATCAAGTCCAACCTATTAGGATCTCATTCTAGATTATTCTCTCTTACTGAAGAAACCTGATTGGACAGATGTGATCAGCTGACCGCAGGGGAAAAAAAAAAAAAAACATTGGTATACATCACAGCTCAGTCTACAGTGGTAAACGTGGAGCAGGCTCTCCATGTGTAACGGGTTCATGGTTCATGCTGTGCTGCCCGGTCGGGGAGCGCATACACATATAGGTTTCATGCCGTGTATGTATGTAGGAGGGGAAAACATGCAACGTGGCCTCACAAGGAGGGTTTCCGGAGCATGCGGCTGACCTTTCTGCTTTCCCTTTTTTTCCTTCCTGGCACTGCCAGACGGGCAACTGGCTGCTGCGCCCGCCGCTTTGGCTTTTTTGGTAGATTTTGGAGGTTGTGTCTCTGTTACCACCTGCGGTTCCTCCTGCTCGGCCTCCTGTACTGCTCGATGCGATCAGCGAAAAAGGACAGAGAGAAGATGAAATCGTATTAAAAAT